ATTTACACATTTTAAATATCTATAACTACAGATTGTAAAGTTTTATTGTGTTTAATTTAGTTATTCATGTAAAATGTCAGGGATTTATTTTATTTCAGACTCAAATTTGTTTGCTAAATGTTTTTGAAACACCAAAAACATTATTTTTTCTTCTAACTTTTTCTATAATTTAAGTGATTTTATGAATCAAAAATGAGCAAATTGTTAATATAGATTTTATATTAAAATGTTTAAGTTGCCATCTTAACTCTGTAGATTTTATATTGTGCTGTTCAGACTGTGAACTCTGTCATATGATGAAACCATGTTTTATGTGGGAGAGGATGTCTTTATCTCTATGCAGTAATCCTTTTTTTACACTTCTGCTTGTGCAACAAGGAGGAAACCTCAGCTCAGCGGTTTGCAGCCATCGAAGTGATTCATCAGGTCGGTTTTAACTCCTGACTGGGTTGGAAGATGAAGATCGCTTTGCTGGGAGCCACTGGGCAAACCGGACAGTTTCTGGTCAAACAGGCGCTGGAGCAGGGCCACACGGTCACCGCTGTCGTCAGGAACCCGGCGAAGCTCACAGTGCACCACGACAACCTCAAGGTAAAAGTCAACCCAGGTTCAAAGTTCAGGTGCGTTTATGGAGCCACATATTCAGCTTGCTGTTTCTTTCAGAACCCAAGCCGAACAATAATAGTAAATTGAAACACAATATATTGTTTTGTTATGGATGGAAGCTTTTAATTTTAGTTTAACTGAAAGGCTAAAGCTAATCCTTATTTTACTGAAGATCCTGTTTTGTCTGTCGTAACTTTAAAGGGGACCTGTTATGCTAAATTTACATTTTTCATATTTTTATACTTTCATTTGGGTCTCAACAGCTTCGAAAAACAACCCAGACTCTTAAAAAAACACCCAGCTGAAACGGGTCATTTTGGAAAATGAGCCATTTCAAAAACCTCCGGAATGTACCGTGACAAATCAGCAGCACTACCCGTTACCTAGCAACCCCAGTGGAGCCCAGCCTGTTACCTAGCAACCCCAATGGAGCCCACCCTGTTACCTAACAACCCCAGTGAAGCCCAGCCCGTTACCTGGTTTTACTGCTGAATTTGTACAATGGCTGCTGGAGAAAAGCAAGTGTTTTGTTGTTGATTTACCATCCAGAAACCGGTTGCTGCATTCTTGTTGGTTGTGCAGTAGGCTCTACTTCTGCTTTTCAAAGATACGGCTGTATAATTGCGCGTCTTTTTTCAGCCATTTTCACGTGTGAGTGTGAACATTGAGTTGGTGGGCGTGGCCAGCAGCAGCTTGTTTGAATTTAATGTGACACAAGACTCTAAATCAGCTTATTCTGAAAGTAGCTAAAAAAAGAGAGACTACAATGTCATTATCTAAAAATAATTTAGTGCAAAATCTGATAAACATGTTTTGTATCAGCCAGAGATCAATGGAGGCTAAATGTAGGTCACATCTAACTGGAGTCTTGCCAGTTTGTGTAGGTTTGTAGCCCAGTCCTGTTTCATGGAGGTCAGAGCAGGAATCATGAAAGATGTCAGTAACTATTTTGGCTTCACATTATGAAAAATTTAGCCGGTCGGCCCAATTGATACAAGAGAACACTGAAGTTTTTAAGAAAATGGCCGCTTATCAATTAATCGTTAAACTCAGGGAACTTTAGTTCCGCATTAGATACAAACCTGAGGATAAAAACAAAGTACTGTTGACTGGTTCTCTTTAAATTATATCTGGTTAATATTTGTGAACCACGTGTTTCCCTGGATCAGAATGGCTTCGTGTCGATCAGAATGGCTTCATGTCGATCAGAATGGCTTCGTGTCGATCAGAATGGCTTCGTGTCGATCAGAATGGCTTCGTGTCGATCAGAATGGCTTCATGTCGATCAGAATGGCTTCGTGTCGATCAGAATGGCTTCGTGTCGATCAGAATGGCTTCATGTCGATCAGAATGGCTTCGTGTCGATCAGAATGGCTTCGTGTTGATCAGAATGGCTTCATGTCAACCTGTTCTCTGTCTCCAGGTTGTGTCGGCTGATATTTTCTCAGCAGACAGCCTGAAGCCTCATTTCAAAGACCAGGACGTCGTCATGTCCTGCCTCGGCTTTCCAGCTTCCTTCTTCTCCGGCGTGACGGGCTACACCACGTCGATGGCGGCCGTGGTCGGCGCCATGAGAGAGGCCCGGGTCAACAGGGTCATCACCATGACCTCTTGGTACACAGACCGTAAGTGGGCTGCACAGGTCAGCGTGTCAAACTCATTGATGTGGCAGAACGTGTTGATATTAACAAATATTGGAATACCTGAACTGATAACCTGCTTATCCAAAGTCTCTAAAGCAGTTGCCATGGAAACCTTCAAAGACAGACTTATCACCCCTATAATTACTGTTGGCATGATTGTCTCCCCGTATATCTGCTTTGTGTGAGATTGTGTCATATTTTTATGTTTAGCTGACTCTGCAACCCAGTCTCCGTTCCTGATCCGGTTCCTTCTCCTGCCGATGATCCGCAGCGTCCTCAGCAACATGTACGAGATGGAGCACTTCCTGCAGAAAACTGAGGACATCAACTGGACCGTAGTTCGGCCGCCTGGCCTCAAGAACCTGGCAGCCTCAGGTGAGAGAAAGCCTGATGCTGTAGCCACAAGTAGAACCCCCCCCCCCCCCAAATAAAATAAACGGGTAAAGTAAAGGTTGTTGTTGCAGCTCAGGAGTTTCTGACGCATGAGGGATACTTTGTGCCTGACAGCAGCAGTCAGGTGGGAAGAGGAGACGTGGCTCGCTTCATGCTGTCCCTGCTGACCAGCAACGCCTGGGTCAAGAAGGGCGTCGCCTTCACCACCAAATGAAGCCACCGGCCATTTCTAACCACACAGACGGTTTCTCATTACTTTGGTGTCCGTGCTGCACTGCAAAAACAAAATCTTCCCAAGTATTTTGGTCTAGTTTCAAGTGCAAATATGTTAGCTCACTTGAAATAAAAACTAACTCATAAGTTAGGTTGTTTAGAGTCAATAACTCCTTAATATTGATGAAAAAGTTCTAGTTTTTGTCATAAGTTAAGGAGTTATTGGACTTAAAACAAGTTCATGTAGCTCGCTGAGAAGTTACTTGTAATTTATTTCAAGTGTACTAAGATATTTTCACTAGAAACTAAGATAAAAATTACTTGGTGAATGTTGTGTTTTGCAGTGTATCTAAGATACTTTACATTAACCAAAGCTTAAATGGGAGCAGCAGCATGTCAGATAGAGGCGTCCTCACTGTGCCTGCTCTTATTACTAAAAATAAACGTATATTGTAAGTGGTCCAGTTAAAATGCGTCATAAAAGTCCAGGTTAAATTTATCCGTCTAAATGGCCAGCAGCAGAATTACTGGCTGGATTTGAACTCACTGGGATTTAAAATATTTCTGATAAGGTTTGTAGATGGTTATGGACATTTAGTCACTACTTCTCTTACGGTATTGAAGGGCAAAAATGATTGAATATTGAATAAGTGTGGATAATTTTTCCCAGACATATGAATATTTAATAAGACTGTAAACATGTTTCCCTAATAAAACTATCAGCTTTACTGTGAGGTTTGAGTTAAAGTTGTATTTAGAAAAGTTCAGAAAATCTGCTGACTTTTTGGATGAACTATGTGGAAAAAATATTCTTACAGTGGATAAAACATTACAATTATTTTTTGATGGATGCCTTAATTTACTCTAACATGTTTTTGCACTCTTAAAATCTTTTCTGTGCGTATATTTTGTGAAATTAACATTTCTGTTGTGAGAACATGAAGCAGCTCCATTGCGGGGGTGAAGTTCATACATTCGCCCACATGACTGTGGTATTGACCATAACTAATTAAAAGTTAACTTTATTCAATGTTTCTGTTCTTTTTTTATTACCACTACATTAAAAATATAAGCCTGGTTTTATAATAACACAATCAGTGAACTGTGAATTATTTGCATGTTAAACAGTGATATTTGGTTTATGTAAAAAAAACAAAACAAAACAAAAAAACATTTACTGGATAAGTTTTGGCATGAAACTTCAGAAATATGGGGATCCAGAAGTGCCACAATCCACGAAACAAAAAAATGACTAAAGAGCATCCTTAATTTAATTAGGAAAAAATTTGATTTTCCTTGTATAATTTTTTTAATATGTACATGTAAATGTAGATAAATATGTATATTTAGAAAAAAAAAGTAAATGACACAAAAAATTATTTTATGTTTAGCTGCCGCAACATTATTTTTTGTCCTTATGAATCAGTCAGAAGATAAAAGTTGCATAATGAGCTGCAGTAACAACGCAGAAAAAATGTGAAATAATAAAATGCTGAAATTATATATGGTTTTAATAAATGTTAATTTATTAAAACCATATTTTAATTTATTTATCTATTTAAATGCAGTATTACATTGATTGGCTCTTCATATTCTTGCACCAAGTTGCAAACTGAAATAAAATATATAACAAAAAAAAAAAAACTTGTTGTTGCTAGGTCTGTTTGATTTGCTCCAAATCACTCTCTTTTATTGACAATTTACAGAAAATATATCACAGAATAAATATATATTTTCAGTAGGAGTGAAACTGTACACACTCATGTTCGATTTACAATTAGCAGTTGGGGTGATTGGATGAACACAGACCGTTAGGTTCATTTTTTAAACAATATATTCACATTATAAAACATGTTGACCTTCTGTTTGCCCAGATGGAGAATTTTACACGATGCTGAAACAGGAGGTCAGATTTTAAACAGCTGCTGTAAGACGAGAGTAAAAACCTTTAAAAGTCAAAGTGGATCAGTGGTTAGAAAACATTCATTAAACACGATAAAAATGTAAAAAGCTTACATTCCTAGAAGCTAGGTGACGGCAGCCTCAATTGCATGTGTTGAGGTGCGGCGAGGCCCGACTCCGCTTTGAGGCAGAGAACGTCGAACAGCATAAATATGATACAACAGACAGAGATTTATAGAGGCGTAGGCAACAGAGGTCTGCTCTCAGTCTTTTACTTCTCCAGGAACCACATATGGACAGTTCAGCGCGAGTACAATTTGTTAATTTGGTCCTGGTACATTTTTGCCACAATGGGCCGCCTCAGTTTCAGGGTGGGTCCTGCACAAAAACAAGAGAAGAGAAGAGAAAAGAACGGTTGATTGAACAACAGCAACTCAGTTTCTGTTTGAGGAGTAACTGTGAGAAACAAACCATAAAATCCTCAGAGATGAAATCTAACCTGCAATTAATCCATTAATGAGAAATTAAAATGAGCTCCATCATCTCCATTCTGATGACTAATATTGTTTTGTTTACACAGACCTCATGGATTTGGGTGTGCTTGTTTTTTATTTCTGATTTATTTATTGATTTCTGGATATCTAAAATGTCTTCCAGTTTAAGCTGGAACTGGTCTTTGAAGAAGCAAACTTACATTATTCTAACATTATCAATATATTACATGAAAATTGTCTAAAGACGAGAATATTATCGTTTATCTCAGTAGTTTCTGAAACTATTTGTCATCCAGTAAAATTTGTTACTGATTTTAAGTGTGATAAAAGTTAAAAATTTAATATTTTCTCAAAAAACAAGACAATAAAAAAACAATAGTATTTTCTGACCCAGTTCTCCTCCGTGGACGGAGAAATCTTTCTCCAGTAGGATCCACTTCTGGATCTTCTGAGCGTTGGACGTGGATGTTTTGTTGAACCGGTTGATGCCGTCCTGAATGGCTTTGTAGAGCACCGGCTCCTTATTGGCTATGATCTCTGACACCTTGGTGGCCCTGACGTTGAGCTGCCGACAGATGTCCACAGCCTCGGGGCTCAGGATGTCGGTGGGGTTGCCCTCGTCGTCCATTACGCACTGCGGACGCAACAACATCGGTCACACATGCTCACTGATGTAGCGGCGGCGGCTTTGTGGAGGAGTTTGTTACTTTGAGCGTGAGCAGCATGGAGAGGAACTTCTGCTTGTCTCCGATCAGCATGGCGTTGCTGATGATGGGAAGCTCGTGCTTCACGGCGTCCTCGATAGGGACGGGGGGGATGTTCTCGCCGCCGGCGGTGATGATGATCTCTGTAGAAAGAAAAAGAGACATTCTGCTTTATGACTTACTGATTTCTGACAAAACATTCAACTTTCTGTATAAATTCTTTTCAGATAATGATGGAAGAAATGTCCAAATGCCTGAAGAAAGATTTCCCAAAATGATGTGGCAACTGAGGTTTAATTTTTAGAGAATAAAAAATTAAGAGAAAAAAAAAACTGAATTAATTATTCTGGTTTAGCAAAAGAGAAACAAAGAAAGTATCATAGAAATGCTAAATCGTGGTTTCAGCAGTTATGTTTTATTTTGTTATTCAAATCCAAATAATTAAATGCAAATAATTAACATTAACCCAGATTTTTATTACTAGAGCTCTGGATTCAGTTAAAGATGCAGATTTTTCATTCACAATACAAACGAAGCAAAGATGTTAAAATAAAAACATAAAACAACAAAATATTAATGGAGACAAAACAGATTAACTAAATATTTAGTGAAAAGAGGAAAACAAAGCTGTCAATGCTGCATCTAATGTTATGGAAATAACATCAAAATTAAAGAAAAATAAATAAATACATGGAAACTAAAATTTACATTTCATTCAAAAAGATACATATGAAAAAACAACATTTACAAAATATATAAAAATACAGTTATACAGTTATATAAAAATAAAGACCAACCATAAAGTGGAATAAATGCTCAAAATAAGTTAGGATAAAAGTAAACAGTCTTATTTAAACAGCTGAAACCAAAGAACAGAAAAGATCCCTGCTGAGTTCTCAGGTAACAATTCAGGTTATTCACATATTTAAATGGATGTAACTTTAACCTAAGTAATAATAAATGTTTCCTATTGTTTGTGTTTTTGCGTCTCATTCGTTCAACAGTCCTGATCTATTTGTGCTCAGAGGCTGAACCAGATTAAGATCTAAATGTGAATGAAAGATCGTATCAGATAACAGCAGCTTTTTAAGTTTGATGTGTAAAATTACCTTTTTGTACCGAAAGTACTTTTTAAATAAAGATGTGTTGTGTGGTCCCTTAAAACGATTGAATGGATTCAATGGGTCTAAAGATTTACAGATCCCAGGAAATTCAGTTTGTGAGTTTAGTTTATTATTGTAAACACACAACAAACTTTACTGATGTAAAACCTTCTAGTAAAAGATCTTTGGAAGGGTTTCATATAATGAACAGAATAAAGTAAACTTTTACACATCACTGCTTTAGGCCAAAACTGTCTTAAGGTTTTCGGTTTTGTTCCCAGGTTGAGCACAACGTTACCTTTTATTCTGCCTGTGATGTACAGGAAGTCGTCCTCGTCGTGTTTGCCCAAGTCTCCAGAGTGCAGCCAGCCCTGCTCGTCCAGCGCCTCGGCCGTTTTGTCCGGCATGTTCAGGTAGCCCATGAAGACGTGCCGGCCCCAGAAGCAGATCTCCCCGTTCCCGTCCGCGTCCGGCTTATCCAGCTTCGTTTTGCAGCCCGCCATCACCTTCCCAACGCTGCAGAGGCAAACCACAGAGATGATCTCAGTGCGTTCATGTCCTATTTGTGAGCCGTCATGGTGATGGTTTGGTTTTCTTTAACTTCTCCTCAGCAGAAACAGAGACTAGGACTTGGACAAGAAAATCCAGAAATTATTCTACTTTCTTAAACCAAACATAATCTTATTTACATTTTATTTATTCTTTTTCACTTACAGGAAGAATCTGGGTTGTTGCAACAAGGAACAGGATAGTTTTATTTTTCAAATAAACTGATCAAATACATCTTCACAGAAGCGAAACTGATACAACACACTTTAACTTTGTAAATGTATGCAAACACTCAAAGCAATAAGTCCCATAATGCATTGCTGCTGACCTTCCAATGCGGTACTCGTGGATGGAGACGGCGTGTGGGCCGGAGCTCTCGCTCATGCCGTACAGCTCCTTCACCGGGATGCTCAGGCTCATGAAGTAGTCCAGAGTTTCTTTGGTGATGGGAGCGGCTCCAGTGCAGCACAGCTTGCAGCGGTCCAAACCCAGCTCGTACCGGACTCTCTTAAACACCAGATTGTTGGCCAGCATGAAGCCCCACGGCACCTCGTTCTCCCTGCAGCCAAGCAGACGCAGAGCGCTCCAATGAGCCGCCGTGCTCAGATCTACTCATGTTTGAAACTTTAGATTAAGGAATGAACCTGGGTAACTTTATAAACATGTGACTTTTCTATGAACTAAATCAATTTAAGCTCAGACCTCCATGCTCTACACGATGCCTCGTGTAGAGCATCTCATGGTTGGTGTTTTTATTGTTAGTTTATTTTAAACGGTTACAAACTCAAGATAAAACACATCATAACAATCCTTGCACATATCTGTCTGATTTCGTCAGAAAAAGGAATAAAGCAACAGATATGAGTGACTTTCAATGTATAAATATGCATTTACCTCTTTATTTGCGTTTTTAATCAGATTTCTGCTCTAAAAGTTGTTTAGTTTATTTCTGGTCGGCTGTAGCAACACCTGGATCTGTTTTTTCAAACACAGCAGGAAAATCTTGGCGACAAAAAGACACTCGAAGGTTGTTTAGAAGAAGATCACAATACTTTAAATTGAATTCAAATGTTTTGAAATCTGTCAAAAGTTTCCCATCTGCCACGTTTCCTTAAGGCTGGTGGTTAGCTCCAGTGTTGGCTCTCTGGTGAAGTCATTAATGAAAATACACAGAACAGAATCACCAGTTTGTTTATCTCAATAAATTTTTGGAAAAGACTGAAAAGAAAAACAACAAGATACCCTGAGTAAATATAAACTGCAGGTTTCAAATGTTCATCTGATTTATTAAGGAAATAAGTGATCTAAACGACCGGCCCAATGTGAACAAGTATTTCTTCCCTGCTGTTCTTCGTAGCAACAATCAGCCTGTTTTAAACTTTCACTGTTTTTTCTTTTCCATATAATAATAAATTAAAGCTCAATCTGAAAACTGATAGTGAAATTAGTTTGATGATCTGAAACATTTAAGTGTTTAAAAATCAAAACCAGAAGAAATCTGTGAAGGGTAAATAGTTTTTTCCAGGACTCTGTGATTGTTGGTTCAGAGACAAACACAGCCTACGATGCTATCTTTACATAAAAACTGTTTCTATTCAAACTGTGCTTGAAGCCGACTCACCCGTTCATGGCGCTGTAGCTGTACTGCAGGCCGATGGACTTGGCCCAGTCCGCCACCCTCTTCCTGAGCGCGGAGCCCTTGGCGCCAACAGCTTTCATGCTCTCCTGGATCTTCTCCCAAACCCGAGGAACGCCCAGGAAGCCGGTCGGACGAGCCTCTTTCAGCGTGTTCACCAAAGATCCCTGAAAACAGGAACAACAACGGTTGACAATATTAACACCCAGTTTGTTGGTGCTAACAAACCGATGCTAGCTCAAACGATACCTTCAGGGCGTCCGGCTCTGCAAAATGGGCGGTGGCTATGAGACTCATGGAGCACCAAATGTCCATCATCTGCGCTGCGATGTGGCTGAGCGGCAGGTAACTGATGAGCACTTCCTCGCAGCAGTGCAGGTTAATCATCTTGGACACGGTGCGGGCCGTCCACGTGATCTGACCGCGGAAAAGACGAGGCAGCCGTGAAGTTTGATCAGAAAAACAGGAGAAAACTGAGCAGAAAAAGGAAACTAGAGTCTGTCTTACTGGTGGCGTTCAACTGATGCAATCTTTAAATTTATCACATCTATCCCACTTATGTCCTGTACAGAAGTTATAAATATCAAATGTGTTTGATCAAAGAACCCTTGGTATTTTCCTGCTTGATTGTGAAATAATCTGGAGTTGAATATTTTCGCCCTTCTTCCTTCATCCATTGCAGCGTAAACCTGAACACTCAAACTTGGTTAAGCTTAACTTGTTTTTGGTTCGAGCATCAGCTCGGGTTTTGTCTGGACTGAACTGTTGAAAAAAACAAAAAACAAACACTATTTAAAAATGTCCGTCCTGCTGATTTCAGGTTTGATCAACACATACAGAAGAAAAAAGTAAAAAAGTGAGTCAGAGTCCAGGTAACTAATGGAACAAAGAAAGAACGAGTCGTTAGCGTCTGTCATTCCCATCAGCAGCCGCAGCGAATCAAAACAAACCGACTGAGTCCAGTTTCCTGTAAAATGATTAGTGCGTCTCTGCTGTCAAGCACGGCGCTGTGGGAGTGATGATGAGGGCTTGTTCTGACAACACAACACATGGCCCCTGGGCTCTGCGACACATGTAACTGCTGACTGATCCCATGAAGCTGGTAGTTGCTAATAAAACTACTAACCCACCAGTGTCTTTACGATTATCGTCAAATAAAACTAATTTTCTTTCTTCACTAAACTGATCGAATGAGTTCTCTGAATACATCAGACCTGAACCGAACATTTTCGTCCTTTGCGGTGCTGCTGAAGAGTGGACTCACATTGTCGTGGCTCAGCATGACGCCTTTGGGGTTTCCGGTGGTGCCGGAGGTGTAGATGAGGGTGCAGCACTCGTTGGCCCGCAGACTGTCGATCACAGCGTTCAGCCGCTTGTTGGGAATGTTCTCTCCAAGTTTCATAAACTGGTCCCACTGCAGAAATGAAAAGGTTTAAATAAAACTAGGATAAACAAAGGCTACAGCTGTGTTGTTGTTTATTATGATCAGTCACCCTGACAGGCAATAATTCTCCAATAAAAAGTCGATGTTGTCATAGAAAATATGTTACCAGACGTCCTAAAGTCCATGTGATGTTTCTAATTGATCACTGAGTTTGATTGGTCAACGTACTGTGTAGAGGAACTCTGCTTTCTGCTCCAGTTCACCTTCATACTGGACAATAGCTTTCAGATGAGGTAACTGATTTTTAACCTGCAAGAAGAGACAAACAGAGGCATGAGAGGTTGAGTAGTTACTCATAAATAGCACACAGAGGGTTTAGATGCTGAGCCGAGCCGTCTGACCTGCAGGATCTTTTCCAGCTGCTGGTGGTTCTCCACTACCAGGACGTTTGCCTCGCAGTTAGAGGCTACGTAATGACAGGCCTCTGCAGAGTTGGTCGTGTAAATACCGGCAGCCAGACCCCTGTGGCATAAAACCTCAATGAAACCAAACAGCAACCAAACAGTAGCCACTGTTAATCACTTCCTGCTTGTAAATAATCTTCTGTTGATGGCTAATTTATCAAGTTTCCCCAAACAGAGATTTGTAAGTTAAGCTTCTCTGTTAAATTTTAACCTTTTATGTACATTTCCTCATGTTTCGGTTCAGTTGAAGAAAGCATAGTATCTTACTTAAAAGGTTATTTATGTATGTAAAATAAATTTTCCTCTTCATGAAAATTAAGAGGATTAATTTATAGATAAATTGATAAACAAATAAATGTACTTGTTTATTTTTGACAAATAAATAAATAAACTTGGAGATCAAAATTATGTCAGTGGAATAAAAGGTAAACCTGCAGACATGTGAGTTGTCTGAGTACCTGTCAGCTAACAAAGGGGGAAACGTGCAGCTCTTTCTATTCCAGACAGAAACTAATTTTAGAAACAAGAGGCATTCAGAAAATCGAACTTTTAGCAAGAAGCTATTTGCTGACGTTTGAAGTTGGCTACAATCCAGCAGCTTTCCATTATCAGCATGTTAATGTGTGCATTCACATGAAATCACATGATTTCATGTAAGGAGTATTTCAGTGCCCCAATAAAGCGCAAATTAAGTCTGATGTCACTTCATTTCACAATATAATGTTAAAGTACTTGAGTTGTAAAACACGACACCAAATCACAAAGGATTGTGTATTTTTCAAGAAACATTAATGCCTAAAGTAATAAGAAACTAACCAAACTGTTAATTTATAAACAGAGGTAAACTGGTTTTTATGGCTGTAACATCCACACATTTTACTGTTTACTTAACTTCCAGTTTTTTGTGCGCTATTTTACATTTTCTAGAGGACAGAGGAAATAACAAAGTTCCTATGAACTCATTATATTTCACATTCTTGGCAAACAGGTCAAACCAGTTCGAGGAAAGACAGAAACGGACAGTGTGACCTGAGAAAACCTTAAAAACCTGGATGTTAAAATTTTGCATGGACTGCTGTCGAGGCGCTGATGTGTGATCTCACCCTGCTAAGATGCAGCCAATGTCTGAGATGAACCACTCGGGAGAGTTGAATCCCAGAATGCCGACTCCGTGGTAACGCTCCAACCCGAGCTGCGAAGGGAAAGAACAATGCGCCGTAATAACGCTGCCGCGGCGATGCCGTGCCTCCGTTACCTTTGGCCCACATCGGGTTTTCAGGGCCGTGAAACACGAGACGTAACCGAAGCTGCGGATTTCACACGCCCAAGTTTTGGTTTTCAGTGGGACATTGTCACACCACAGATCAGACACTAATTTATAGATTACCCTTCAACTTGCTCAAATTCTCATGAAAATCTAAAAAATTGTTTTTATAACTAATGGATATAATACATAACACAAAGGCATAAATAACTGATCATCTTGAGATCCTCTTGATGCGACTTCTTCATAGTTTGCATCATTTAAACTATGAATATTCACTTTGAAGTAATAATGTTTACTTCAATATAAAGTTTAATATAGCGCTGCATGTTAAACTTTCCTCTTTTAGAATAATGCTGGAAACAAATGAAGAGAGACTTGATTCTCAAATAGTTTTTAGACATTGATTAAGTCTCTTAATTGGGATTCATATTTGGAAAAGACATGTTGATTTTTACCTTAAACCTAGTATAATATAAGCTAAGTCTGTGCCTATGGGGTTCCAAATGTGCCAAAAATATTGTGTTCATATGTGCAGGCAACATGTAAATGGTCATTTGGGTAAATCTCTGTGGCTGCCAACAGTCCTGCAGTGAAGAAAACAAGTTTGGCTGGTAAGTCTCCACATAAATCGACAAAACAATTAATATCCTGAGTTCTCAAGTCAGAAACAGACGTCACATGAGGAAACAGTCCAACACTACGGCTCATCGAAAAAACATAAAATTACAGAAAGTGTAACAGTATTTTTAAAAGACAACATTGTAGTCAATCCCCTGGAAAAGTAATTAAGCCTTGTGCAAGGTTTTCTTTCTTTTTTTTTTTTTTTTTACAAATGCCATTCTGAAAAAGTGGGGGGTGTATTTTATATTTTTTATCACGTTCCTTACTCTGATACCATAAATAAAATCCAGTGGAACCAACTCTCCTCAAAACTATCTATTTGTAGACGGAGCTCATCTGTTAGGAATTTAAGGAGCTGCAGAAATTCACAGCTGCTGTTAGTCATGGACTCCACAGATTTTGTCTCTATCGAGGAATCTATTGCTAAAAGAAAGTTATAAAAAAGTTTCCCTTTTCCCATTCCCATGGTCAAACATGGTGGAGGGAGTATCATACTGTGGAGATGCTTCCTTCTAGAGGAAGGAGGCGACTTTTAACAGTTGATGAGAGGAATTATGAAAATAAATGCAGGCCTATCCCAGAAAAGTAAATATTAGAGGCTGAAACATAGTTGAGACAATGGCTGCTGATAAACATCCAGTGACACAATGGAATGGTTTAGAACACAGCAGTAGAATGGCTCAGTCAAAGTCCAGATTTAGACCTAATCTGAAGGTCTGTTTTAAGATTTGGTATCTGATGTTCACATTGTCAATACAATCTGATTGAGGCTGACTCATCAGGCGATATCTTGGTTTATTGGTCGAACCGAACCTCAGAAACCTTCACAAACTGTTTGTTGTGTTTATTTTGATTCTGCCGTCTCATTGAAGGGCTGTTCTGGATTAATCAGAATTTATTTTTTTCAGCTGAGACATGTTTATAAGTATGAAATAATTCCATGTCACATCATCTTGACTATTGTTACAAGGGACTAGTTACAAAGTATAACACACAAATTTTAATTACTGACATCCAATTATTATCTACTTGTTGTTACATCAAATCCCAACTAAATGCATAAAAGTCTGTTTGCAACATGACAAAATCTGAAAAACGTCAGATTTTATGAATAGGAGTAAATACTTTTGGCACAATTGGAACTCCATACTGTGCATGTGTGGAGGAATATATGGCTTTGCTGTGTATTGTGACCTGAAAACACATGAAACTGTTATTAATTCAGCGGTAAAATCAGAAAACATTTTCCGAAGCACAGACTCTGAGAAAGCACCAACCTTGAGGAAGCTCTTGGCCGCTGCACGACATTGTTCGTAGTACTGCCTCCAGGTCAGAGTCATCATCCGGCCACCTTTCCTGAAAACCAAAGCCGGGTGATCCCCGTAGCTCTCCACCGCCTCCAGGAACAACTGATGAATGGTGATGGGAGTCTCCGAGCCCGGACCCACGCTCTCCATCCTCAGCCGAACCGCCTGGTTTCTCTCAGAGGTAAACAGCCTCTCAGCGGGGGCCAACGCGGTCTCCAATTCCGCCGACATCAAGGTAACCGACTTTTTCCGCTCTGCATTGGGACAACAGATGCAGATGCTTTTACCCGACATTTGAAAACAAGACGAGGAGGCGAGCTCAAGGTTCAGGAGAAGACTAAGGTGAGTGAGAGGAGAGGAAACATCCCAGCAGGTGAGTGACGCCTGCTGGGTCAGCGTCGCGTTAGTCGGCGTCAGAGAGGAAGGAGGTTGTTATCTGATCCTGAACAGGCGGCTGAGGAATGTACTGACACACCCACCCACCAGGCTTGGTTTGAGGAGGCAACATCGATCTGCTGCAGCTTCTTCTGATGAGTGCAGAGGATTGAGACTCAATCTGTTATTTCTTATTGGATTTGGTTTCACTACCTGCAGTTTTTAAATAAAATCAGAGTTTTGGGTTTGAGAAGTTTGACTCCTGAGCATGATACCACTCAGGATAATCCTAGATATGTTTAAAAATGATACTTTGCCTCACAGCATTTTTATACTTCAGTTCTTGTATATGTTTATATACACTGTGTTATTTTTACTGTTTTAATTGGAAATTCATGTCTGTAATGAAACTAAAACATTTATTATACAGCCCCATAAAATGACTGAAATCTATCCAATCTAAGGGAAACTGACCTTAATTACCTTTCTTGAAACTGTGTCTATGTTGAACGTATCGAACAGGAAGATCTTTAAGACATTCCTCTCTGCTTTGTAATAAAATGAGATATTTAAAGATGGAGTGGAAAATCCCTGACAGAGTGAATTTATCTGTTTATCACTTTAATCGAACCAGAACTCATTTTCAAATTCGTCTCTAACTTTATACGATTTTTAAGACTGCTTAGCCTTTTCAATATTTTTATTTGACAAATAAAGCAATAAAAAGCAACAGCCATGAAAATAAAAATAATTTGTTTTAAAAGTAACGTATTCATAATTTCAATCCCATCACAATGTTTGCATTAATCATTTAAGAAAATGATTTTTACCTAAGATTCTTTCAGTTTTTTTATTTTTAGGTATTTATTTACCTTTTGGGGGATACACAGTGTATTTCAGAAGCTACAATAGCCATGAATGCCATGTTATTCAGAACATACATGTGGAATCATGTGAAGTCACATGTGAAGTCACATGTGAAGTCACATCAACAGGTTTCTGCCATGATGTTTGTAGGATATTTGACCACTCTTCTCAGATCATTTAAATGTTTGGTTTCCTGGTACAGACCCAAACCTTCAGCATAATCCGCTAAGTTTCAGTATATGAAGTAACTGTCATGCATGGTGGTGGCAGCATCATGCTGTTGGGCCTGGTGAATGTGATAGTGAAGGTGATGGATAAGTTTAGAGTTTTGTGGCTTCACCTCAAGTCAACAGATGGACATTCCAGATATCCCAAACACACAACATGAATTATTTTGTCTTAAGCCGTGGTTTTTAAAATACCAAAATAAATCTATAATCTGTCCTTAAAATCCCAGCAAAAAAAGCCTCTAGTGTAGCCGAGCAGCTTTTGACTATGGGTGGATTAGAGAAAAGCCTATGTCTGCCCACTTCCTAATTTTCTTGAACTACTTGAAGTTGTTTGTTGTATAATCATTTCCACCTTTAAAAAAGAACAAGTCAAATGTGTCACTAGAATACCAAAACAAAAGTGACATTTGTTACCGTGATGAGTGCATGTGAATGCCTGACTGGACCTGAGCTCAGTCCTTTCTCTAAATGTGACACTCAGAGTTCGATCGGTACCTCTAGGAGTTTTTATTGGATTGTCGTCCTGATCGAAGGTTCTTGGAGGTTTGGCAGGAGGATCGGTGCTCGTCTTTGATGCTGCAGGTGGAACATCAGTTTTTCCCTTTAGCATGACAGCTGCTGCAAGACTCTCCTCGACACTCTTCTAGTTGCTAAAAAGACAAAGTGTAAAATAAAATCAGCATTAAAACCCTTCAGATGCTTTTCGTCGAGGACTCTCCAGCCAGATAAGAAGATCGATTATGAAACAGAACCGCTGCGCTCATTTATAACACTCTGACATTCACTGAAGTCATTGCAACAGGTCAGCGCCTGTAGTTGCTGGAAAGCAAACGTAGCAGAAACACACGTGTTGAAACTCTGAATAATGTGCCAGGATGGGTTGCTTCATCTTCTTGCACTAATCACACTGTCAGTCTGTGACTGTGAGCAACTTTGACCCAAATTTAAAGAAAGTGAATTTCACAAACTAAACGATTTCAGTACACCGGCGTATTGGGGCCATTAGAGACAGGAAAAAAGAGGACTAAATTTCCGCCAAAAATCTGATCTCAGAAATCTTCTAGAAATGTTCTAGAAAAAAACTTGGAAATTTCTGAGTTTGAAAATTTTCAACTTTGGATCTCAGAAATTTCTTTGTTTTTTCTAGAACATTTCTGAGATTGATCTCAAAATTTCTGAGGTTTTTTTTAACAGGAATTTACTCCTCCATTTTTGTCTCTAATGGCCCTAATTTGCCACCATATTTTAGAGCATAACTTAAAACAAAAGAAACTAAACTGTACATTTAAAAGTAAAGAAACTAAATCCCTCTGCTTAACGATACAATCAATCCCAACGAGTAAAAGAAACTTATTTTGCAAGCAAAACTTGACAAAGTTAGTGTAAAGGATATGTTTCCTCAATGCTGTAATAAAACCAGATTAAGATCTGTCCACTCAGCAAACCCTCACCCCGACTCTCTGGTTTTAAGATTGCCCATGTCAAGGATTTCTTTTTGGAGTCAAAGGTCATACGAATTACTAAAGTGAAGTTTTGCAACATCTTTGCTCCAAATTGTGCAAATTTATTTTTAGTGCCTTTAGTATTCATGCCCCAGGGGTTTTCAGACTTTGTCACATCACAACCACAAACTTTAGTATATTTTGTTTTAATTTGATGTGACAGACCAACACAAAGTAGTCGAAGTGTGAAGTGGCAGGGAAGGGATTCGTGGATTGTTTTTGTTATGGAAAAAGTTCAGTTTGCAGTTTGCCACAAGCTAGAGGACTTAGCACACGTGGAAAATTGAGAGACCCTGCACATTGTCATTAATACACATTTATAAAACTAGGGAGTGATGGCATAATTTTGTGTAGGAGAAACTCACATGAAAGAACGTTAAGACATAAATCAGGATAGCCAGGTGATATTGAAATAAATCTTTTTGGCCTACATTCAAACCATCATGTGAGGAGCAAAAATGACAGCAGACCAGCCTGAATAAACCTTCAGCATCGTCATGGCGTGTGGTGACAGCATCATGCTGGGGGTCCGTTTCTTCAACAGGGAAATGAAAGCTGAAGCTAAAGAAGGAGCAATCATAGATGAAAACGTGGGGGAAGCTGCAGCGGAGTTGAGATTGGAGCGATGGTTCGCCTACCAACACAGCAACGACCCAAAACATACAACCAGAACAACGGTCCAGTTAAAGTCCAGTTCACAACCAGTCATGTACAGAAACTTAACAATAAAGTAGATTTCCTCACCAAATGCAAGTTCAACATGAGAGATTACTGCAAAGTTAGCTCTATGCTATAAATCTGCTGCCACCACCTGCTGATTCAGGAGTGATTGCTGCAAGTCCAGTCACTCAACAAAACAATCAGCTGCATTTCATTAGCCAGAAAACATTTTACCAACTGTTATAATAAACTAAAATCACCTGCATTGTTTTATACCTAGGATCAAATTGGAAACCATGTAATATTAACATTATTAGATTGAGAAAACTGGATGTTTGTCTTGTAAGAGTGCATTGAGATGCCCGTTGTTATAAATCTACATAAATAAACCAAAACTCAACTGAAACCTAAACCAAACTATATAATCTTCTAACCACCTCACAGATATACACTACTTTGTGTGTGTTGTGATACATACATTTCTAATAAACGCATTAAATGTTAGTGGAATGGTGCAAATGTTCAAGAAGTATGAATATTTCTGCTACGCACTGTAGTTGTCCTGTGAAGTGGACAAGAAGTCTTTTAAAGGAGTACGCTATAAACATTACACCCAAGAAACACAAAGAAAACGCGACAATTCACAGGTGTACATATTACGGATAAACTAACTGAAGTAAAAGCTGGTATTTTTTAACATTCAAAACTATTTTTTTCCCTTATAAATGCACAAGAAAGCAGAAAACTGACCGAACAGCTTTGCAGGTGATGTCTTACCTTCAATGCTTTCACAACTGAGTGTCAGCAATCTCTCAGAGGCACTCAAGTGTAGGACTGACCTACATCAACCTTTGCCCTACAAAGATAGTCTACTGTTCCTCGCTGGGCAAGAAAGCACAGTTTGGGCAACTTCAACAAGGCGATCAAAGTAGATTCTCCTGCCTCATTTAAGATCTGAAGAAACTCGCATAATCCGCCAAGGCCAGAATGATCAGTTAAAGATCCACCGACAAAAGTGGATCAAAGGTTATGGTCTTGACAAGGTGAAGACAACCTAATACCTGCAACATGCAGCAGCCTGCAGCTACAGAAACCTGTTGTGTTTGCATTAATTACAGAGGCTGAGGACTGCTGGCTTTGCTTGGCAGGGACAAACATTCAGCAGGAGGGACATTTATGAAAACCATAAGCCAAAAATGAAGTGGGTGTGGGGTGTTGTTAAGATACTTATCAGCTGAAATTGGTTTATGAAGACAGTTTTCATCAGAAATGCACAATGAAGCATGTTAGAGAGCAAAAGATAACGTTATAAAAGTTCTGTCACAACAGGAGAAAAGATAAAACTTTGGTTCATAAGAGCTATTCAAAAGTTGAAAAGTGCAATAATACCTTTGTTTACTGGATGAACACATTTAAGAGGCAGGTGTTTGAAATGTTTAAAAGGAAGAAAAAAGCTGTTCAAAAACAAGTAGTAATGAATTTTTTAACTGGAAGCATTTAAAATTAGCATAAAAATACTGAACATACTTCCTCCTTTTCTTCAGTCCTGCGTATTGTTTAGCCATGCTGCAGGTGCTGAGCACTGTTTTATCAGTAAATATAGGGGAAAGTTTAACCGTCTTTCTGCAGTGACACATAGTTACTCCACACACTGAGATCACACCACCCAGTCACACCACAGCCGTCCTGACCCAGAGTCCCTTCTGCTTGTAACTGGTGAATGATTAGTGAGGGGCTTGATCTGTGGCAAAAACCCAAACAGGAAGTCTGAAACTAAAGAAAAACATTTGAAGTGTGCTGCAGCTCATGGATGTTATATTATTGTTTACAATCAAGTATGACAAGGGGAAATTCCAGCCATTCCAGAAGATGTCCGTGGATTTATTACTGTGCTGACAATGCTGTGGTTTATGAATAACTATGTATTTAAAACAGGAAGTCTGCTTGCTATACTGAAGAAAGAGCATGCTTATTTTGAGAAGCTACCATTCTGGAAAACAGCTTCCAAAATGGTGGCTCTAACAGTCATTTGGTCCTAGGGTTCCTGCCTTCCTTTGACCAGATAACCTCTAGGTTATCTGGTCAAAGTCCTATTGTGCAATTTGTTCTGGTCTTGATATTTCTATTTTTAATCTCCTTTGAGTATTTGTAGCTTGGCACATTGCCATTCAGTCAACTGCTCACTTGTGATTGACTTCTTTGAGGCCTCTTTATGGTTGTTGATTATGTGTCTAATCCCAAGGTATCTACAGATTATCCTGATAGCCTGCAGTTTTGCCTTTCCTCACCTTTCTTCAACTCTAAATCAAATTACACTAAAAATAAATAAAAAGTAAATGGGGCAGGAAAACCTATTTTAAGATGCCTATATCAACATGCTAGTGTCTTCTAAAAATATTTAGAAAACTATATCACTCATAGAAACAGTCATTAAACCATGAAGTTGCTAAAAAGGTACACAGACCAACCATGCTTTAAACTGCCACTTAATGACGCTATCTCTAATGGTAACAGGCAATATATTCCAGCACCTAAATCGTTTAATTGATAAAATATTCTGCAAAAACAAAGATTTTCTAAACTGAATCTCACAGTCCAACCTAGAGGTCGACCTAGCCCTATTTATGCCATATTTATGCCATTTTGCTTTAAAAATAATCCTTTAGGGACCATTATAGATTTATATTAGTAATAGGATTACTAATAAGTAGCATAAAGATAATTAATTGTAGTACCTAATAATAATTTTGTCTAATTTATTATTTTTTTTCTGCCCATATGAACGTTACATTAAAAGTGTATACTTCAGCATTTTTAGCAATAAAGTTTCTGAAAATAAAACAAAACCCTTACGCTCTTTAAAAGCTAAACATTAAAGTACTGCTTTAACATTGAAATAAAGTAGTAATGCACACCAAATAGCTTTTGGCCAACCGCTAATAAACTCAAGAAGAAGAAGAAGAAAAATGGCGCCAGGTCCTCAACAACAAAGTATTCACGCCAAAGCTCAATAACCTGATCAAACTTTCTATTATCCAGTGTAGGAACCACACTCGATTATAAAACTTTACACGGTGCGCACATCTCTACAAAGTTTTGCTAACTCTCGCAGGGGATCTAATCGATTAGCATGGTGTCCCAAATAATATTGATTTCCCCCAAAATTATTGTTTTGGGGAAAAAAAACAAAACAATAATTACAATGCGTTGATGAATCGTTATATTTACCCAGCCCTTAATGCTAAACTCAAAACGTTTTTGTAACTGAAATACAACAGAAGTGAAAATATATTATTAGCTAACACGCTCATCTAATGCCACACTGACAACGTTTCTCTAACTGAAGTATAACAGAAATTAGCTAACAGGCTCATTTTAATGCTACCCTCAAATAAACAGCTCTACATTTTATCAACCAGAAAAATAACAACAACACCTCCCTGTGTCTTCCAAACACACTTACAAATATGAAGGTTTTCCAGGGTACAATGATTATAAATTACCTTCAGAGTGGTAAGAGCCGTTTACTTTCTCCTAACTGCCCAAATTCTTGTTGTCAAGGTTACCGGAGAAAAGTACAGTAAAGATAGTTGGCTTCCAAGAGCGCTCACTCTATCATGTTTCCTCGAGTACAATATAACAAAGGTCGCAAATTTCAAACCAATTTTTTTTATCCATTCTTAGCATGAATTTATAGTTATTAAATTTGCAAACTATGAACTTATTTTCCGACTTTTAAAGTAACTTATTTCCACTATAAATTAACTAATAGTATTTGACCGAATGGCAACACAATTCTCGCTTGATTTCCCGCTTTTATCACTACAAACCTCAACACAACCTGTTCTCTTTTTTTTTTTTTCAGAAATGTACTACTCCCCCCTACCCCCCTAAAATGGCCCTAAGATGCCGTAGCAGATTTTGCATGCTTGATGTATACAAAGGAAGACATCTGGTTTTCAGTTTGTTTTGGGCTTTATTGAATAAATTAATTTTCAGTAATAAGAACAGGGTCACTTTGTTTAAAAAATGTTTGTTATATTTAGTCATGTTTAAGAAAGAATAAAAACTGATTTGGGTGCAGAAATGTAGGCTTTTCAATAAAAGTCTCTGAATAAATGTTGTTTTACCTTTTGTTATAAAAACACAAATACTTTGTGTTGTAGTTTACACTTTCCTGTGTAAGAAAATTATGCTGGTAACAATGTTTATCCTGATTGCAAATTAAAAGAATCCATCTGCATCTATATGGGCCAAATTTGTGTAATTTTTTAATTGCAGTTAGGGGCCACACAAAATCAGTCCAAGGGCTACAAATGGCCCGCAGGCCGCACTTTGGACACCCCAGGCTTAGCGGGTGGATGTGTTCAGTTTGTTCCCGTTTCACTTCTGTTTACTGGTGGTGGGTCTGTTTGAGTGCTGGTTATTTGCCCTCAAACATTTGTGTACTATCTTGTACATCCGCTTCACTGCCGTTTTATTTCCCCAGGAAGGGGCACTGCATTGTGCTGAGAGTTTGGGAAGAGAAACTGAATGTTGTTGAATATGTAAGATAAATATACGTTCTCCGCTTTGGATCTCTGCCTCTGCTTCAGCTGGAGCTACTGCTTTTTGACACTGAAGGACATAGAGATGAACATCAACATCAGCTTTCTGTTTAATCATTTCTGGTTCTTTTTCGGCGGGAAAAGCCAATACTCTCATTTTAATGCAACACTCAAACATTATGTACGCCACTCTCCATATTTTTTGACACGTCTGTCTTCCAAACACACAAATACTTACAAAGACGAAAGTTTTCCAAGGTACAAGGCGTATATAAATTACCTTCAGAGTGGTCAAGAGCCGTTTACTTTCTCCTAACTACCTAAATTCTTGTTGACAAGGTAACCACAGAGAAATAAATCAAAGATAGTTTGCTCTTAAGAGCGCTCACTCGATCATATTTCTACAAATACAATATGACAAAGACCGTTTGAAATACACTGATAAAATGTCAAACCCCAGCCTTGTATAACCATTCTTAGCACGAATGTAGTCATAAAATCAGATGTGTCAAAAGTACTCACATTCTCTACTTAAGTAGAAATACAGATACTTGTATGAAAATATATTCTAATAAAAGTAAAAGTGCAGGTTCAGCTGTTTTACTCAAGTAAAGGTAAATAAAAGTACAAGTTTTAAAAAGTACAAAAAGTAAAAAGTAATTTTGTCCATCAATAATGCAAAATTACTTTTGATTTATAAAGTTCTGGTCATACAAAATGCTTTTTTTTTTCTTTTGCTGACAACATGTTGGTATGGAAATTAAAAAGGAATACTGATACATTCTAGTTTTTCTTCAAACCAAATCTCAATCTGGATAAGATTGCACAAAACACAGTACATTCAACACTAATCATTCTTTGAGTAAATGTATTTAGTTACTACCAAACTCTGACCCCTAGTTTAGTTTAAGGGATAAAAAATAACTATTTGGGATATAGTTTTATACAAATATCCAATATTTCTCTAAATTATTCCAAAACTGTATTAGAGATAAACTGGCTTGTTCTTAGAAAGATATAAATGTTCAAAATTAAAAAAATATATATTATAAAATATAAATATAAAACATAACATTTCACTGTTTCTTTAAGTTATTTTAGAACTACATTAGGGATAAACTAGAAATAATACATATAGTAGTGTTAACATTAGCATTATTCGTTGAGATTTGGACTGTTTTTTTGCCGTTCAAATATAATTTTATGGTGTTTGGACGGGAAAATGTCAAATCTGGCAACCCTCACGTGAGGCGCATGCTGGATAGAAATATGGCGCAGCTTCGACAGGAGTAATTATGTTTTTTAATTTTTTTTTCTAGTTTTTTTTTACATTCTTTAGAATACCAGAAGTTACACAGTTTGTACTTTTTGTCTGTATTTGTACTCTGTACTTGCATCGCTTTTATATATACTGCTCAAAAAAATAAAGGGAACATTTCACTTTAATTTTGTGTGTGGCTCCAAATCCAGGCCTCCATTGGTTAATAAATTTGATTTCCATTGATGATTTTTGTGTGAGTTTGTTGTCAGCACATTCAACTTTGTACAGAACAAAGTATTCAATGAGAACATTTCATTTCATTCATTCATTCATATATATATATATATATATATATATATATATATATATATATATATATATATATATTTTTTTTTTTTACCCATTTTTTTTTTTCTCTTATATATTTTTTGTATAATTATTTTTTTTTCACCCTTTTGT